TAACTCAAAATTTGACACAATCAACAGAATAAGATCTTATATCTATGTATAAAAACTCTAATTATCTGTATTATTTTAGAAACCATAATAGAGTTAAGTATCACTTCCGGATATTGGAGGTTACTCATGAATTGAAATCAATGTAAATATAAGATATTATACTTACATATTCAACTTCGTGTACCTAACTGAAACATTACTAAATGTATCGTGTTCACATGGAAATATAGTTTTTAAAAAACCATTTCTGGTTATCGGAAATCACTCAAATGATAGAAACCTGCGAATAAAATGTAGTACTTGTAATACTAGTAATTAGTTATTTGAGAAACCGAAATTAAATACCACATCAGGGAAATGGAAATCGCTCTAAAATTGAAGGAAGACTACAAATTTGATATTACTTATATATGATTTTCCGTCAAACTAACTGAAACGGTTCTCAAATTACGGTGTTTACATATTCATACACACACCCAGACGGACTCTGAAGTTATAAAACGTCAAACGTTGTCAAAATCACGATTTAGATTATCGCATCATTACAATACATCCTATTTTACTCATTATACGATAAAGTAGGGAGGTGTACAACAACGGATACTGTCGAAATATATGTTAATTATTCAGCACCGTTATAATTCATTCTCTTATCTCTGTATACGAGAAAGTAAACAGCTGAGCTAAGAAGCCCTACCAGTCTAAGAGAGCTAAGAAGCCCTACCAGTTTAAGAGAGCTAAGACCTACCAGTCTAAAAAAGGACTAAGAAGACCTACCAGCATAAGAGAGAGCTAAGATGACCTACCAGTCTAAAAGAGCTAAGATGACCTACCAGTCTAAAAGAGCTAAGAAGACCTACCAGTCTAAAAAAGGGCTAAGAAGACCTACCAGTATAAGAGAGAGTTAAGATGACCTACCAGTCTAAAAGAGCTAAGAAGACCTACCAGTCTAAAAGAGCTAAGAAGACCTACCAGTTTAAGAGAGCTTATAAGACCTACCAGTCTAAGAGAGCTAAGAAGACCTACAGAGCTTAAAAGATCACCAGCTTAATGACGAGCTCCCGTCAGGTCCATTTAAATGGCAATTCATTAGATTTCTTGGCGGGACGGGAAATTCAATATTAAAATCATCATTGATAAACGAGGAAATCACCATAGCAACTAGTGAGTCGACGAGCCCAATCAATGATGACACTCATTACGTCTGCCGCTCAATATCTAACTCCCGACAGACAAATTTGGTTAGACCATTTGGCTCCGTTAGAGCTCTTCCTACACATCATGTACGACCGCACACCATATGACTCAAATAGGTATCACCAACTTCTCATCAATATGCCATGTCACAAACATTATCAACAAGTAATTTCACTCAAATGTGAACTGGCCTTGAGTGTTGTCAACGTACACTGACAGGAATTCAGATGACGGAATTCAGATGACGGAAGGAAATTGAGAGATATATTTAATATGCCAACACACGCGTTTTGGCAAATGAAAAACACCATAGATTATTAGATAACACTGCAAATGAAAAACACCATTGATATCAAGAGAGAAGTTTTCAATTGACCACACAAAAACGACCAGTGATTTCAGGAGAAGTTTTCAAAAGTCCAACTAATTCAGCCACCATCTCAATCACGACGCGAACAATCACTTCAAAGTAACATGACGTAACAAAGCCCTACGGCGATGACCATCTGGCCACTGTATTGGTCGGTTGTTACTGAACCAATTATAGCTTTCAATGGCGCCTCGCTCAACAAAATAATAGACCATCGCAAGTGGGAGCCGTCAGTAGAAATGAATGGCGCAATCCCACTTAAACAGCTGGGTTGTTGGAGCTTAAGCTGTAGAGGTTGTTGGAGCTTAAGCTGTAAAGGTTGGTCGAGTTTAAGCCGCTGAGGAGGGTTGTGTCTCAAGTAGACTTCTTGTACTAATTACCTCCCGATTGCTCTCGGCGTTTTTACGTGCAAGACTAGATCTATGAGGACAGCGAGCGTCAAGATGTACTCACCCCTCTGTACAACAACACAAGAGGACATTCTTACAGGTTTTACTTATAGGTGTTTAGACATAGACATTCTTACAGGTTTTACTGATAGGTGTCTGGACATTCTTACAGGTTTTACTGATTGGTGTTTAGACATAGACTTTACAGGTTTTACTGATAGTTGTCCAAACATTCTTACAGGTTTTACTATTAGGTGTCTACAAATTCTTACAGGTTTTACTGATATGTGTCTGGACATTCTTACAGGTTTTACTGATATGTGTCTGGACATTCTTACAGGTTTTACTGATTGGTGTTTAGACATAGACATTCTTACAGGTTTTACTGATAGTTGTCTAAACATTCTTACAGGTTTTACTATTAGGCGTCTAGACATTCTTACAGGTTTTACTGATAGGTGTCTGGACATTCTTACAGGTTTTACTTATAGGTGTTTAGACATAGACATTCTTACAGGTGTTACTTATAGGTGTTTAGACATAAACATTCTTACAGGTTTTACTAATAGGTGTCTACACATTCTTACAGGTTTTACTTATAGGTGTTTAGACATAGACATTCTTACAGGTTTTACTGATAGGTGTCTGGACATTCTTACAGGTTTTACTGATTGGTGTTTAGACATAGACTTTACAGGTTTTACTGATAGTTGTCCAAACATTCTTACAGGTTTTACTATTAGGTGTCTACAAATTCTTACAGGTTTTACTGATATGTGTCTGGACATTCTTACAGGTTTTACTGATATGTGTCTGGACATTCTTACAGGTTTTACTGATTGGTGTTTAGACATAGACATTCTTACAGGTTTTACTGATAGTTGTCTAAACATTCTTACAGGTTTTACTATTAGGCGTCTAGACATTCTTACAGGTTTTACTGATAGGTGTCTGGACATTCTTACAGGTTTTACTTATAGGTGTTTAGACATAGACATTCTTACAGGTGTTACTTATAGGTGTTTAGACACAGAGCCGGCGTTAGGTATACGCGGGGCCTATGGCCAACCATCCGCGCGGGGCCTGCTTTTATCCATTATATATATATATATATATATATATATATATATATATATATATATATATATATATATATATATATATATATATATATATATATATATATGCCTATATAATATTCGTGCACACATAATAACACATAAATGTTTTGGAGTTTATAAGCCAATGCCAAACTTCTCCCTTTAATAACCGATGGTTACCTCTCCCACGTTTTTACCCAATGTTCTTTGTCGTTTTTTTCCTTGCTAAGATATTAAATTAATATAAAAGTCAATTGATTTAGGTGTATCTAAAAAAAGAGAGTGCACAGAATTTTAGACAAATCATAATATCAACAAAACTGAATTAAAGTTAAAAAGAAATAGAAAAACATTTATAGCTTACGACTTTGCTCGAGTCGTGAATAAACACTGGTTACGAATCGTGAAAGCAAACTGTATGTTTATGGATATCCAAAAGAAATGATTCTCAAATGTTATCATGGACGCTCAGTAGGGTGGAGCATTGGGGTGGGTGGCAGTTGGTGTGGGGGGGGGGGGGGGGAGGTAAAGGATAACTTTGCATTTAAATCTATGGCTATGGGATGCCATACCCTAAAAAAAAGGGTCACCAAGTTCAAGTACCCCGTTAATGGATCTCTGACTGGAGTCATTCAAAACAAGGTTTGTGTTTATAGAGCGTCCACGTATAACATTACCGGTCATGATCGCGATCTCACAAGAGAAAGTTCATGTCTATAATTAGGGAGTGACAGCCAGCTACACCTTATTTATGAGTTTCGCGATGGCATGCTCGGGCTGCCGTGAAAGTCGGTACTTTAGACGTGTGAGAAATCAGGACAACTTGACAATACAGCGAACTCGTCAGCTCAGGTCAAATGCGAGGCGACCGTACCCTACACAAATGGGAGGTATAGAATTACGGCCTGTCCCAGTTCAGGTGGGTGATAACTCACTAGCATCAACCGTGGCCTCAGTTATAACAATCCAAAACGTCGGCATTCGAACATTTAGTTTTTCCCAATTGAATTCAGCAAAAAAATGTTAAAGTTTACAAACTAATTCAGATAACAATGACAGTGCTAAAGCGCGGGGCCCCTTCAAGCGCGGGGCCTAGGGCGACCGCCCCGTTCGCCACCCCCTAACGCCGGCTCTGTTTAGACATAAACATTCTTACAGGTTTTACTAATAGGTGTCTACACATTCTTACAGGTTTTACTTATAGGTGTTTAGACATAGACATTCTTACAGGTGTTACTGATAGGTGTCTGAACATTTTAGGGGTACTTAATAAGTTACAATACAACGGAAAGATATGACATCGGTAATTGAAAACATTTATTAAAATAAAACAATTATGAATCATTAGGTATGCCGGCTAAAATCCAATAATTTTTATATTAAATTAAATCCAAATTTGCCAATTAAGATAAAAGGAAATGTGTTTTGATCAAAATATTGTTTTATACCTTTTTTTCCATTTTAGTCACATGTCTTCCGTAATTAGTTAACGCTTGTTCATTGATAACATACGCATTCGCATTATGTCGGTATGTCTTAGAAAAAGATAAATACGACAAAACAAAGGCGAAATGTTAAGTTTCTTCCACTTGTGGCCGCGATGTGTGCTACCGTAAGTAGCGACATCAACAAAAACTCAACCCGCTAGCCGAGGTGACAAGTGCAGGTAGCCCGACAACTGCTACACTTTCAACAGGCTAGTTGTGTGCTAACTACATCAGTTGACGAATACCTCGCTTGTCTTGTGTCTGGCTACTCAGAACTTACGTGACGGCATTTATTTCAACAACAATTAATCATTAATTCGAGCATATCCCAGGTAAAAAAATTTAGGCCCCTTATCCAACTTGCCATGCAACAACAACAACATAAAAAGTAAAAAATTAAATTTGCAACAAAGTTTGATATGTAAAAAAAAAAATCTAAAACAATTTCGCAACTTACCTTCACATGTGAAAACTTGTGTCCGAACAATGAATCCTAGAAAATGTATTGCAAACCGAATCAACTAAAAATTGGATCTAACACAGGTTCACTAACACCACTGTTTACTCCTAGAGGTAAATATCTTTCGACACTTAACTTATGGACACAGTCCGTGTTTTTTTTTTTAAATAATGTAATTCTTAACGTCGTATATGAATGAATGAATACAAAATAAATGTATTAAGTGACCATCAGGGGAAATTGGATAACGAGTTATCCGGACAATATTTCCACCTGACTCACACAAAATTGCTTTCTTATATTTTTGTTGTGTATTTTTTCACTGTCATTTTTAAAACTTCTGATCTAACGTCACACATGTTAACACACGCACTAAGCAGGAAATAAGAAAATAATCCAAGACAGTCCACTACGGTAATCGATCGTTGAATGATTGACCAAGTGACTAGCCGCGGTGTCTAGTGGCGCACTTGACCAGCCGTCGCGAGTTGCGTCTCGCGTCAGCCACGGCGTAGTGATACATCCAACGTTAGTCGGTAAGCAAGCGCTCTCATGCCGTGCCTTACCTGGGCTAGGGGTGGGCAAGGGGTGTGGGATAGCTGTCAGCCAGCGGTAGAAGATTTTAAAACATGACATCCATGCTTTAGGACCCTGCTTGCTGACTGGCAGATGGGGATCATTCAACACTTCGCTCAACGCCTAACATTTTTTTTCTACATTGCAACATGTAGATTCATTCATATTTTGGTACATTAAGGAAGTTTTTTTTTTAAAGTATTTACATGTACTTTGTAATAGTGAAAAATCTGAACTGAGTTTTCAAGCTAACAAGCTTTCTGTTATCTCACCTGATTAAACAGTTATTATGCTTAATCACGAATTTCAAACATTCATCCGGCCATCGTGAACTACACATCCAGACATCCATCCGAGTGTCTTGAATTACACATCTAGAAGACATAGGTCGATCGGAGTGTAGCGAACTACACAGCCAAACGACATCCATCCGAGTGTCGACAGATAGATCAACATCCATCCCACTGTTTTGAGTTACTATTGTTTTATAGAATTACTGAGTGTATAGTTTATATTTATTCATACTGATATACATCTAGATCGATTTAGATCTAATTAATATTTAACTTTCACTACACATATTGCATATCAAAACCACATTCCTCCAACTGAGTGAACTACACATCCAGAGATCTAACCCAGTGTCTTGAACTACACACCCAGACGACATTCATCGAGTCTAGTGAACACACTCACTGACTTTGCTAACAAATGCTTATATTGGCTTACAGGGGAGAATTTTTATACCGGTGTCCGATAATGGAATCTTCTTTAAAAAAGGGGTGTTACATCATTACCTAAAATCATCCCAAAAGACAGCTCGTTTAGATATAGATTCTATATTATAGATATCTAGATCTAGAATCATAAGAATCTATATTAATATTAGATTTTAGATATCTAGAATTCTATATCTTGAATCTAGGCTAGAATAGATCTAGATCTAAATCTAGATTCTAGAAGATCTAGATTTCTAGAACTAGAATCTACGTAAACTAGATTTCTAGATCTAGAGTCGAAATAGTGATCAGATTAGAATGGTAAGAATCTAGATCTAGAAAAACTAGATCTAGAATCTAGCTACTCAACAGACTAGATCTAGCTAGATCCAGAGTTTCTTCCAGGCATCTCTTCGGGGGGGCTTTGCCCCCCCGAAAAATTTTTACCGCCCCCCCCGAACGAAATGAAATTTATATAATTTATATAGAAAATATATACTTTTAACAGTGTCCGCCCCCCCGAAGAAAGTTTACCGCCCCCCCGAAGATTTCAAGTGCCCCCCCGGAGAAAAAAGTCTGGAAGAAACACTGGCTAGATCTATTAAGATCTAGATCTACATCTAGAATCTAGATTACATTTAAGATCTAGCGATTATATCTAGATCTAGATAGATCTACATCTAGATTCTACATCTATTTAGATTCTAGATAGATCTAGATCTATGTATTCTAATATAATCAACTCTGAAAAATAAACCTAATCTAAGACAATCTATTCATTCTAGATCTAAGTCTAAGAGTTTAGTCTAAGACAATCGTCACAATCTAAAAATCTAAGACAACCACTTTCAAAACAAATTAGATTCTAGACTAGATCTAGATCTAGATCTAATCTAGATCTAGAGTCTAGATCTAGATTTCTAGATCTAGATCTAGAACTAGAAGTCTAGAATAAGATATGTATTATGTAGACTACATGAAGGCCACAATAATAATTTTTTTATAGACTAGATCTAGAATCTAGATACTAAAAAGAATCGCTAACCATTAATAATATGAACCATAACTCATTATTCAGTTACTACCGAAACTAGATCTAGAAATCTATAGACCAGGCTAGATTTGATTATTGAAGAAAAACAACTTATTTAATTAAACGAAACAATTAACCGGAAGTGGTGAAACACGTCACCAGTTTCTGCCGTGTCGGGTGGTATCGTGTCACTCTATGTCCGCCAACCAGAAGACAGCATTTCAAATTTTAGTTGTGTGTACAACTCGCTCGTGCGTGTTTGAGTTGTATCTAATAATAGATCAGCTAGAAGGAGATGGGGGCCGATTTGTAAACAGCACTGGTATTTTGATTATGTTAGTTATTCAGATAAGCAAGATTAACAGTAACATTTAACAATTTTAAACAGCATGAAAAATGTCTGAACGCAAGATTAAAATACTCAGAAAACTTTTTAGTCGAAATTAAATACACTTGACCACGATGCATAATAAAACATAGCTCCATATGTGGACATCAAACATGCACATCATGATGATACCAGTCAATGACCAGTCTATGACGCACCCATGTATGCTGGACTGTCCAGTCCATTCATCTCTATTGGATTTTTAGGCATTTCTTCGAGGGGTGGGGCAGGGGTGAAGTACACCCACGTCTGAAACTTGACTGTCCTGTCCATGAGATATCCATCTCAACCGGACGGTCCAGTCTATGAATCATCCATCTTTATTTGGCTGTCCAGTCTATGATACATCCATCTTTATTCGGCTGTCCGGTTTATGCCCCCCGTAAGAGTAAAACGGTTACGACAAACAATACCTATGAGTGAATGGAAAATGGCGCTAGAGTTGTAACCAATACCAAAAGGTGTGATGCGTCTAGCGGGGGTTCGAACCCGCCAGTCTGGGCATTGTGCGATGAGTTTGTGTTAATTGTCTGGCCATTGTTGCGCCTGTAGCGGCTAACGAGTGAGAACTAGCTGTGAGCTGGTCGCTAGTCTGCGGCCTTTTATCGCGCGCTCCGCGGGATACAAAGAGATGGCCAAACTTCGTTATGGGAAAGGGAAATAATCTTTGGAAAATACAATTCCAGTTGTCGTTCCTATCCCGCCGGACACAATTTATTCTGTACACCCCCCCCCCCCCTCTCCCCCTCTCGACTGCTGTGCCGGGACATAAAACCATATCAATGGGCAAGTGTGAAGGAGAGAGGGGAGGGGGAGAGAAGGGAGAATTAAGAACGGAAACTTTGTGAAAGGGGAGATAACGAAAAAGTTATTAACAATTTAATGAATTATTTGTTCTGGGATTAGTTTTACAAGTAATTTACATAGAAAACAGAGTGATCGATGAAAACATTTTTTCAGTTGCCCGATTGTTGTAATTCCTCACTGTGCAGATGTTACACTACATGTTTTAATTAAGTAGAAGCTAAACTAGAAGGCGTCGGCGTGGTCGGTATAGCTCTTTGTTGCTAAACCGTTAAGTTCCGAGTTCAAACCCCTGGCAGATGAGGCTCGATAGCTGAGGACAGCATCGAATCTATGAGAGACAACTCGATAGCTGGGGACAGCATCGAATCTAGGAGAGACAACTCGATAGCTGGGGACAGCATCTCATCTAGGAGAGACAACTCGATAGCTGGGGACAGCAACCCATCTAGGAGAGACAACTCGATAGCTGGGGACAGCATCACATCTAGGAGAGACAACTCGATAGCTGGAGACAGCATCACATCTAGGAGAGACAACTCGATAGCTGGGGACAGCATCACATCTAGGAGAGACAACTTGATAGCTGGGGACAGCATCTCATCTAGGAGAGACAACTCGATAGCTGGGGACAGCATCTCATCTAGTAGAGACAACTCGATAGCTGGGGACAGCATCACATCTAGGAGAGACAACTCGATAGCTGGGGACAGCATCTCATCTAGTAGAGACAACTCGATAGCTGGGGACAGCATCTCATCTAGGAGAGACAACTCGACAGCTGGGGACAGCATCACATCTAGGAGAGACAACTCGATAGCTGGGGACAGCATCTCATCTAGTAGAGACAACTCGATAGCTGGGGACAGCATCTCATCTAGGAGAGACAACTCGACAGCTGGGGACAGCATCACATCTAGGAGAGACAACTCGACAGCTGGGGACAGCATCACATCTAGGAGAGACAACTCGATAGCTGGGGACAGCATCTCATCTAGGAGAGACAACTCGATAGCTGGGGACAGCATCTCATCTAGGAGAGACAACTCGATAGCTGGGGACAGCATCTCATCTAGGAGAGACAACTCCAACATTACACAACTGGTGCTACCACGTCATGGTTGGGCGAATGACTTTCCAGTAAAGGTCACCGGCCAGGGCACTTGAGTTCCGGGATGAACTTTAACGGCCACGTGTTCGTGACCAATGCGAGCCACCAAGATGGAGGTATCCGGATGTGATCGGTAAACGGAAAAAAAGTCACAGGAAAAAAAAACACAGAAAAAAAGTCACAGTTTTTGCTAGGAAAAAAAGTCACAGAAAAAAAGTCACAGTGGAAAAATTTTATCGGAAAAAAAGTCACAGAAATAAAGTCACAGAAAAAAAGTCACAAAAATCGTTTTAGAAATATTTTGATTTATTTGTTAAGAATTGTAAAATTGTGTATGTTTATTGTTGTGGGTTGTATTTTTTGATGGCATACATTATATATAGACGTTAAAAGCATTATGGTTTATAACAATTGTAAGTAAAAATACTCTTAGATAATTTACACAACAATCTCAACATTTCTCACGTATTTAGTTAAATACGCGGTAGAAAAGTTAATTATAAAAGAAATTTAGGCAAATTTGGCCGTAGGCTATTATCTGGTCTGTCTCTCCTCAATAGGCAATGTCCGAACATATTTTGTGTTTTTGACGTCATGCGTCAATGACCGCCTTTGAACCTTGTCGGATCTGTTTTGATCCTAAGTTTTGTTATGTAATGAGCGTGATAAATGTGGGCAGTAAAGGTGGTTGTACTAAACATAACTATTGTTGCCATGAGTTGAGGGCAGCAAGTCAGAAGAACTTACTATTTCTCGGTAAAATTAATGTTAGTATTAAAAAAAACACGATGAAAACCGTGGACTTTGGAGCATTCTATTAAATGCTACTAATCTTAAGTTTAACATAATTACAATCTACATACTTCATACTAAGTATTTTTAGATTAATTATAAAAATTACTATGCGTATACAGCCTACACACATTACATTACACTTAATTAATCCTAAGTTAATTTGCACTCTCTAAATATTTAATACATAAAAGTATTAACAAATATCATGCAAATATATATTTGTGACTTTTTTTCCTGTGACTTTTTTTCCTGTGACTTTTTTTCCTGTGACTTTTTTTCTGTGTTTTTTTTTTCCTGTGTTTTTTTTTCCTGTGACTTTTTTTCCTACAATCATGTGATCAGGCATGGAGAGGTGTGGGCGCTACCTACTCTCATCACTTAGCCCACACACGGCTGTGGTCAGGCATGGAGAGGTGTGGGCGCTACCTACTCTCATCACTTAGCCCACACACGGCTGTGGTCAGGCATGGAGAGGTGTGGGCGCTACCTACTCTCA